GTGCAGCGAGAACCGAGAGCCTTCGTGTGGCAGGCATCTTCCTCTCAAGCCTCATCTCTCCCGAGCCTTTGCTCCCGTGTCTGCGTTCCCTTTCCACCCCTTTCCTCTTATTTCCTAGTCTTCCTCTCATTTTCTCTCTTCCCTTTACAGTTCCTTTTTATTACACGCTTTTATTACACGCTGTCGTTGTTGTATCCTCAAATCTTTTAACTCAATTTTAACCCACTTCCCAATGTGGTATCGACTGAAAACTTGGTATACTTATGTCATACTGATGAAAATACTATATTATATCATAAAAAATAAAAACATATTTTTAAACAATCTTTTTTATATGTTATGTTTCGGCTTGGGTCTAATTGTCCACGGTCAACTGACGTTGGCTGTAATTGGTCACGGTCCCTTACGTTATGGCAAGCTTCGGGGCCACTTCCTGGAGTTCTTCCATTACTAGTACGGTACATTTAATTAAAGTGTGTTTTAAAAAAAGTTACAAATATATATAATTTATCTCGTTTTCCATTACATTATAATCCTTGATTCTGTAGTGGTGGTGTTGACGTGCGCCGACAGTGATGGATCACGGGTGCGCGGGGTTGGGCACGCGATGTGGACGTGGTATGAACGCGCGCGCCGGTGGTGAGGCGCGCTGACACAAGCTGGGAAAAGAGGATCGTAGCCAGCGCGCAGTGATTGGTCAAATAAGATGGGTGCTCTCAGCGACGTCCGCAGGAGGTGCATAAAGGGAGACGCGCGAGAGCACTCGTGGTCAGTGTTAACCAGTTGAAGACCGAAGACGGAGTGGAGGAGGTAGTGGCCCGAGACCCCTAGTCCCGCCGTCCTTGTCAGGACCGGGGCCCTGTGTGGCTCGGAGCCGAGACTGGGGAACCCGTAGTCCGACGCCCGCGTGGGTCGGAACGGTGGTACCCAGAGCCGAGACGGACACCCCAGCCGGGTGTGTTCCGGAAGGCTACGGGGCGTAAGAGCCCGTGTCAGTATAGCTGAGTGGGTGTTAGTCACCCGAGTAGCTAAGTGGGTGTTAGTCACCCGTGTAGCTGAGTGGGTGTTAGTCACCCGAGTAGCTGAGTGGGTGTTAGTCACCCGAGTAGCTAAGTGGGTGTTAGTCACCCGTGTAGCTGAGTGGGTGTTAGTCACCCGAGTAACTAAGTGAGTGTTAGTCACCCGTGTAACAGTTTGGTGTTAAATAAAAGAGTGTGCTACCCGTGAAGTCGTCTCCCGCCGAGTTACTACTTTACAACTGGCGTCAGAAGAAAACCTGTCTTCAAGAAGAATGGACACAAGGAAGACTTCTCGTACCCACGTGCAAGATCGGGGAGACGACGGCGTACCGGAGACACTAACCTCGGGAGGAGAGGGCGAGGAGTTGCCGCCAATGCAGCACTTCGCGGAAATGGCCGATGCTCCGCTTGCCTCCGACACCAGCCTGCAGGACGCACACTCCCGCCTGGCGGAGTTGCTGCTCGCCGCCGCTGCGATTTTGGCGGAAATCTCCGTTCCAGCGGGCGGAGGGACGGCTGCGGGGTTGGAGGAGGCGGCGCGGCTGGAGGGATCCCGCCAGAAGGTGCTTCGCGCCAAAAGTTTTGAAGTTGGCGCCATTTTTGAGGGTCCGCCACCGGTTGGCGGGAAACGCGGACACCACGTGGCCAGAGATCTCCACACAGCGCAGCCCGCGTCATCGGCGCGCGCCGGAGCTCTCCATTATGCGCCTGCAGACGGAGCCGACATTTTCTGCAACCACAGCGGCGCGCGGGAAAATAGTTCCGACGACGACGACGATCGAGTCCTCCAGCAACGATTGCCCGCGCTGTCGGTGTTCAAGGCAGACGGGGGCGACTGGGGAGCCTTCCAGCGAAGGTTCCTCGCACATCAAGAAATGTCGGGGTGGTCCGATACCACTGCCCTACGCGCGCTGCCAGCGATGCTCGACGACGACGCGCTTGCAGCCTTCACATCTGCCCCGAGGTCGTCCCGCTCAACGCTCCAGGCCGCGCTACACCTGATGGCTAAGGTGTTCGGGCCACCCTCGACCTGTCGCCACCAGTTCTACGATCGGCGGAAGGTGGTTGGAGAAACAACGCTCGCCTATCGCACGGCGCTGCTCGCCCTGGCGGACTCAGCTTTTCCCCGCATGGACAAGGAGGGGAAGGACGCCATGGTGACGGAGCAGCTGCTGGCGTTGGCTCACGGATTGGGAGTTCCCATTAATACGGCGGACGAAATGGACATCTGCTCCCTGGGGATTGCCACAAGTATTCACGCTTACGAAGTCCTAAAGCGGAAGCCGACGGTCGTCTGCGCATCGGTGGGGGACGGAGCACCGGCCGCCACGATCATCGGACCTCAGCCTGCTGTGCCTCGGGAGGAGGCCTTCGCTGCTTCAAGACCGGGGGAGTGGAGAACGGGAGGTCGTTCGCCCACACGTTCATCCCGCAAGCTGGAGCAACCGAAACCTACGACGTCCCTCGTCGTCTGCTACAACTGCGGCCTTCGGGGCCACGTCAATGTGGTATCGACTGAAAACTTGGTATACTTATGTCATACTGATGAAAATACTATATTATATCATAAAAAATAAAAACATATTTTTAAACAATCTTTTTTATATGTTATGTTTCGGCTTGGGTCTAATTGTCCACGGTCAACTGACGTTGGCTGTAATTGGCCACGGTCCCTTACGTTATGGCAAGCTTCGGGGCCACTTCCTGGAGTTCTTCCATTACTAGTACGGTACATTTAATTAAAGCGTGTTTTAAAAAAAGTTACCAATATATATAATTTATCTCGTTTTCCATTACATTATAATCCTTGATTCTACTCGCCTCCGCCCTCATGTGCCACGGGTTAAAAAAAATATAACAGTCGCTAGCCATGCCAGGGTTACATGGATAGGTGGCAGCCATAGTTGTACCCACTAGTATATAAACTAAACGATGTTTTTAATTTCACCAGGTAAGGCCCACTGAGCTATATTGCTCTTTTTTCAGAAGCGACCTGGCCACAAGGTAATTTTTCGTTAGTCAGCCTAGGGTCTATTATCAACACTGCAGTTTACTGTCATATATTCCATCAGGAATCCACCAGATTCTTGGTACAAATCAATTCCTGCCGCGCAGTCGGGGAACTGGCATGTGTTTTCGGTCTGGTGATATTGCGTCGAGCGCTTTCACAATCGACGTGCACGGTTGTGGTAATGGACCCCGCCGTCCGGTTGAGACATTTGATCGGGTGGAAAAAGGTAGCTGCTAGGCACGCACAGGCCGAAATCACACCGGAGGGCCACACTGCACAACCGCGGACACCAAACGCAGTAGTGAAGACCTGTAAGGGGCCGTCCATAAATGACGTCACGCGATTTTGGACGATTTTTGACCCCCCCCCCTCGTCACACGGCGTCACAAAAAGTCAACCCCCCCCCTCAAATATGACGTCACAAAGCTCTGCCCCCCCCCCTCCAAAAAAAATATATAAAACATGCTTCAAATCGCTTTAAACTATTGTCATTGTGCGTATTTAATATGGCGCTGCACTCTGATGTTGTAGGATAAAACATTTATTAAAAAGTCTATTTTATTAAGTAGAACGTGTTGTCTATATTTAAAGTTGTGCATTTTGATGTGACGTCACATTTCTCAACCCCCCCCTCGTCACACATCGTCACAAATGTCTGACCCCCCCCCCCCAGGTGCGTGACGTCATTTATGGACGGCCATTAAACACATCTTTTGTTTGTTTTCTTTGAGCACCGTTCCTTGCCAGTGCCGCCCCTTTGCCGGGATTCCGAGACACTTGGCACGGCGTCTGGCCGCCGGGCGTCCCGGCCCTCGAATTGAGACCCGATGCTGGAAGAATGTGCTCCCCAGATTGTCTCATCGCGAAGCCACGCTCCCATTCATCCATCACATTCAGCCTCGAGAAGTCTGCACGAGCAAGGCACAGGCGTCGCGCGTTTGATTCTCACCCCGAATAAACAATGGCTGGGCTGAAGTAAATTATACTGGTAGGAACCTCCTGGTTACACCAGCCCACAGGGGATTATTGTGTCCGTCCGTCCGTCGTGCAGGGAGGGGCTGGGTGGGGAGGGTGGGGAGGGGCTGGGTGGGGAGGGTGGGGCTGGGTGGGGAAGGGCTGGGTGGGGAGGGTGGAGCTGGGTGGGGGGTGGGAGGGGTGGGGCTGGTGGGGAGGGGAGGGGCTGGTCACCCCGTGGTGCCCTTATATAACTTAACATACTCACGACGGCTTGTGCCCACCCTCAGAGTCGGGCATATTTGCGGAATACACCAACCCACCGTTCCTACCAGCTCCCTCCGCAGGAATGTGTTTTCCAGATCAGCTGGTATTATTAAGACACTGGGTGGACGGGGCAGCACTTTTAACAACATGGTTGGTTTAAAAAAACGGACACATTGGCAGTTGTGTACAGACAAATGAAAATAGCGAGTCTGGTTTTTTTATATATTGAATCACAACTCTTCACGGTGGCCAGGTCACAGAGAGGTCAGAGCGCTGAGCTGGCACCGCTAAGAACCTCGGTTCGAGATCAGGAAGGAACCTGAGATTAAACCGGGTCCTCAACTGTACTGAGTTGATGGTCCCAGTCCGATAACCGCACAAAACAAAATCTCATTCACTTTGGCTGCGTATTTAATTTGGTTAAATTCCAGCTGTGAGAATTAAAGTGATCAATTGAACATCTCGGTGACAGAGCGGGTGGGAAAGTGCTGCTCCTAATGTGTGGAACAAATGTCGCTTAAAAGCATCTGCGAGGTAGTTATGTGATATCCGCTTCCGCGGGGTGTTCTCTAACAGGAAGGGGGAGGGGGCGACGCACTGCAGCGCGCGACATCCGAATGCGATGCTTCATCTCGTGACATGATGCCAATAACGCAGTCGTGATACAAGTGTGGGGGAAATATCTCTTTAAAATCACGCTCTCTTGAGGCTGTCACGTGCAGGTAGATGTAAATAACATGAATGCAGTACCATATCATAGAGTTTATTCTATTAAAAATATTGCTGGTCACAAGCAATCATTCTAGGTATACAGTGTATAAATAAATCTACTTCTATAAAATTAAGGCTGCACAGGCCCGAACAGAGGATTTCCCAAACCCCACATTTTACCCTGACAGTCCAGGATCAAACACTTGCTGCTGATGTTGTTGTTGTTTTCTGGACGGGACGCACTGTCCCTTAGCTCCAGTCTCTGTTTGGAAATACATTCATTGGAGGGACCTGCCGACACAGTGGGACTGTTACAGACATCAGCCAAACCTCTCCTGCCATCTAAACAATGTAGCACAAAATATATTCCTTTGTTTTCAATTCCGCCAAAACCAAGGTTGTTTTGGTGATTAAATGACGATGTACCATCCCTGAGCTCTTCTTCCGGGGTGATTCGATGATTTTGGAACATCTTCGCCAGTGCTTCGATGATGTCTGCACGCGGTGTGTGTTTTTATTTTATTTTAAAATGTCAGATGAAAATAATCTGCTCGTCTTCTCCACCGCACTGACCACAGAGTTGTGGTCGCACATTTCCCAGTAAACGTCCTTCGCTGCGTCCTTCGAGACGCTCCATCACCTCCATCACCTTCATCGTCATCATCGGCGGCGAGTCTGAATTCCTCTTTTTGTTCAATCGCTTTGTTTTTCGTGTGTGTGTAATGCACGACTGAATATTGAGAAAGCCACTCGTCCATCCGTCTGTCCAGTTGTTCCCATCTGGGGTCTCGGAGCTACCCCGGACTCCGCCATTCCATTGCCCGTCTCATGGTTTCCCATCACCGATCCGCATTATCGGCCACCAGTGAACTCCAACAGCCCAGTTTGTGTCCTGCTGCTAAATCAGCTTGTTTTTTTCACCAGATTTTTGTTGGACAAATAACATTTCTACATTTCCTCTTCAGCCAATTAGGCATTTAAAAGGAGGGGGAGGGGGGGGGGGGGCTTTGCCCAAGGTGGGCATCTGATCCCTGAGAACGACTGTTTAAGGGCGATTTCTAAATTTAAATTATTATATTTCAGCAGTCGCGATGAAGCTCTCTTCAGTTCCCTTCACTTCTCCCGCAGTGGCGTGGCTATCGATTGTGCGGGAGGGGGGGCCCTCGAGTTGGAGGGGCCCCCGTTTAGTTTTTTTTAGCCAGGTTGAGATCTCGGGAGACCTGGGATTGCCTCACTTGCAAAAGCGAGGGGGCACATTTAATTCGCTACGGCCACTGCTCCCCTCCCGTTCGCAGCACTTACCCACACCTCTCAACCCACTCCTCCGCGCCACGTGCCACGCACGCGCACACACGCCGCAGTCTGAATGTACAAACACAAAGGCAGCCTACACGTCGTTAATTAATACTACAGTACAAGGTGATCCACTGATAGATGCCCCAATGTGCTCCTAACGCCCCCCCCCCCCCTTGCTCTCCCCTCAACGCTTGATGTCCAACGTCGGCCGGCCATTGTCGGACATCGGGAGAGTTCCGTCGGATTAGTGGGGGACGTTGTAGAGGCTTTTGTCCGCCCGCTAAAATCGAAAGTCTCATGCCCCAAGGCGCCGCCACTACTACCTCCACCACCTTGACGCCGCGCAAATCCCTGCGATGCAATCGTCCACCTCGGCACCTGCATGCGGCAAAAACTGATTTCTCCGTATTGTTTTGGTGGGGCATCTATAAATGTATCACCCTGTGTAACACTTCCACGGGCGTCTACGCGCGCTTGGTTACTACTACGCCGAGAGCCTGCTGCTGCTGCTGTTGTTGTCTGAGAATCTATGCAATGAACACATTTCAACATTGTTGTAATTAAAAAAAACACACGGCCTCAATGCGCCATCAGTAGTACCATATGAACGGTTGCCGTGAGTGTCCCACCAACGTGCAGCAGCAGCAGCAGCGAAAAAAAGAAGGCATTTGCAGGTGTATCCTTGGTGCGGTCGTCACGAGTCAATTTGATCATCGTCGCGAGTTCCGCACGAACCCCGCGTTGCCCCACAAAACCACAGGTCACGCACGGCGGCGCAGAGCCGCCGGTCCCGCCGGCACCTACAGTCGGCTCGCTGGCTCGTTCACTTTCAAACTACAGCTTCCCGGCAGTCCCATCGAAGAGGCGTTTTTTGCGCGGTCGTGCCGCGCCGCGTGTCGTTGGGCGCGCAACGCTCGACGCCCCCGCTCGGAACGTCGGGCGTCACGCGGCGCGCGACGTCCGACGTTTTGCGCTCGGGAACGTCGGGCATCGTTCAGCGTGACATCCGACATTCCCGATGCCCGACATTGCCGAGCGTAAACGTGGTGCGGGATGGCACGTGTCGCGATCCGTGAAGGCACGCCACGGAGAGCTCGCGCGGTTCGACCCGCTAGAAACTGCGCCGCAGTTTCCCCGGCAGACCTCGCGCGGCGGCGGACTTTGAGCGAGACGAAGGGTTTAGACTCCTCTCGCCATGCCGCCTCTGTCCCAAGCGAAACACGCTGCTGGGGTTATTCCCGCCAGCGTGTTGAAAAAATAAATTATTTTTAACAGACCCTCTTTAAATGGACCGCTGGACGGATGGGTCTTCCACACCGTCGTGACGGTCATGAGGCTTGTTTTCACCACATATCAGTATATGCAACAATGGCTCTTCGTTGTAGCCGATACCTGAATTGTCCGTTGTGTGCTTTCGTTCAAAACAAAGTCGTAAATCTATGGGAGCCGTTTTGTTCTTCCGCGTCGGAGACGGCCGACCGCAGTGGCGCTCGGTGAGATGAGTCGAGGCAACGCGGCAGCTTATCCGCAGCCACGAGCGCATGCACAGAGCGGTGACGATGATGGCGGGGTGGGGGGGGCAGTGGAGGCGGCTCTCCGGCTAAACAGGGCTTAGCACCCCCACAACCCAATTTACCGGCTTTAAAATTCACACGGCACAGGCGACGAGGTCCGGCCTCTACGGAGCCGGGCAAGGCTTCGTAGAGGCCCCGTGCTCTCGGACGATGTCAGCGCTCTCTCCGTTCTTCAGGTGTTGCTTTTTTTATTAAAATAAAATTAGTACTTTTTTAAAGAAATATTTAATTTATCAAAATGTATTCCAGTTCTCCCAAAACAACGTTTTGCAGACTGTGTGCAAGCCCTGTTCGGAGCTAACACTCGCATTCTGAACCCACAAAGGGGGAAGTTCAATCTGTAAACGTATACATTTTCCGCGTCTCGAACGCAGAACCGAACGTGCATTCACCCAACAGAACACACGTGTTCCCATCAACCGTGCAACGGTGGGCCAACGTCGGCCCAACGGTTGTAACCACACGCCAACGTTGACTCAACGTTGGCACGTTAAGTGGGTCTGTGTGGCACACTCCATCGGCAGTTTAAAGTAATCCGAGCGCTCTAATGCCACTGTGAACACTGTTTGAACAACGATACAAAGATTCAAGCAAAACATAATTCGCTCCAGCGGTGGTCCACCCATCAAAACTGACTTTCGCGTCAAAATGCCCTCCGTCACCAACGAGCGGTGAGGTTGTGGCAGAAGCCGACGAGCGACGCCGCCACCGCCGCTTCCTCCACAACGGTCGCCCCGGACGCACCCGCTCGCGTGCGACGGATCTTCCGTCGCACGCACAAAAGGCCGCCGCTCCATGAAACCGCAACGCTCTCGGAAAACCCGACGGCTTCGATCGGCCGAGGCCCGTGTCGCTGTCACTCGGCTGTCGGGGATCACGATGTTGTGTTGGCGGTGTTCGGCACCGCCCCACAGTCGCCCCCCAATTCCTCACGTTTTCTCCGACCTCTGTTCGTGGAACTCTCCCGGGCAGCACGTGGACAGAACCATAGAAGTACCGCGGAGGTTTCCACAGTCGTGCCATGCGGCTCTCTAGCATCGTCGGGTTCTGCCGCGCGTTGTTCGGCATGGTGTCTGATATTTTCTCTCCACCTGCTTCGGCGAAGCTTCTTCTACTCTTCCCCGCATCCCGGCACGCGTGGCCAAAGGTCAAACGTCGCGCCGAACGGCATGCGCCGCAACCCGGACACCGTGAAAGACTCCGGTGCCGTCTCAGTGGCAGGCACAGAATCCTGTAAACGCGCCAGGTGAGTCAACCTCCCAATATAAATAACGCAAGCGCAAACGTTGTTTGCGATCAAACCGCAAAAAGAAATTACTAACGCCGTGAACATTGTGTTCTTTTAACACGAAGACACCAGTTTCTGTGCTGAATTGGAAACAAACGCTCCTGCGCACAACAAGCAAACACAAGTTGACGTTGCGGAAACACATCGCAGTAAAGTAACACGACGCACCCTATGTACAGGAGGCCTCCCCGCCAGGGACGAAATGTGCTCTTCGCTTGCTTACTTACAGAGATACCCCCGCGACTCGGCGGCGGGCCGTTCCAGCGTCCAACCCGGAGTCCTTATCGATTCTTTGGTATGACCGCTCGCGTCGCGCGGAAGCTGCACAACAAACGCTCGGGAGTGTTTTCCCCCCCTACGGGCCGAGCACTCGGGCATCGGCGAGACGCAAAACTGTGGGCGATTCGATGCTGTTGGTTGGTTTTTATTTTTTGGCACACAAACCCCAACGCCCCCGCTCGAAGTCACCACTCTGCCGGAGCACGGACCGCTCTCAATCGGTGCTCCTGCGGCATCTTCGGCGAATGCCGCGTTCCCTGATTACATTTGTTTTTTGTCGTTGCGTCAACGGACGCCCGGTGGCCGGTCCGCCGGCGACCCCCTGTTCCCTTCTGAATCAGGCGCTCGACCTTCACAGAGTCGATCGCCCGCAGCCGGAGGGCAGCCGGCCGGCCTTCTCTCTACGCAGCTCTGTCTGGCGGTTGGCCGATATAGTTTGATTCCGGGCTTGCGCCAATGCTGGCCGGCGCTCACTTTGATTCACTCCCCACCCCTCCTCTTGTTTTGTCGACGGCGGCGAGTCGAGATGGAATTGCCAGGACGGGAAGCCGTTCGCGGTGAAGGATTTGCCAGCGCCGGTGGCTCGCCGACAGTAGCCGCCTCCGGTGTTACCGGGCGATGGCAGAACCGGCAACATTCCGGGAGCCGTATTGGACGTGGAAGTTGGGGTCCTGGCGCGCCGCACCAGGCACCTCTGCCGACTCCGCCGCGTTCACGTCATTTGAATGACACACAGCCCTGGAAATGGGAAAAAGTTATGAATATAAATCGCTGTAGTGATGCTCTGCGTTTGTCGTTGCTCCTGTGATGCACGACTTTTTTCTGGTTATTCATTGAAACAGACGCTTTTAGCCCCAAACGGCTCTTGGCTGGTTATAAATAAAGCATTCTAATAATCGATTGCATCAGTAATTTAAACGTGGTGCTCAAAGCACAGTTCTAAATACTTCTGTGGAAATAACATTAAAATAAATAAAAATATTTTACGGAATATTGTTTTTTACGTGTGTGTATCAAAGGTGAAATATACACTCTCAAAATACATTTCGATTCTGCGTGATTGAAGGCAATGACGGTGATGCATTCCAGTCAACCCCTTATCAGTGCCTACCTTACTACAGACCAATTCAGACCTTATTGATCTCCCCGTGCCCTTATAAATTTTAATGTTAATTCTATAAAGTCAAATAACAAGGGAGAAACGCAAACATATAGAAACAAACATTTGTTTTTGGCCGCATTTGAAACGGCTGTACGCTGCATGGACCCGAAAAGTCAATTTCCCTGCGCAAGAATACGGGTGGACCGTATGGGCTGACAGGAATGGGTGACGGGCACTTGCTAATGCTAAACGCACAGCGCACGGGAATTACAAAGCCATTTTTAATACTGCAGGTGGATTTACACTGAGAGACAAAGATGAACACGTGGATCAGAGAAGACGTGCAGGTCAGGAAAAGCACGCGGACCATTGGGCACGGATGCGTCGTGGCTAGAAGGGATGATGGCCGGTGGACGAGACTCACACCGGAGTGGCAGCCAAAGGAGGGAACGCATGCCCAGAGAGAGAACACGTCCACCGCATCGACGGAGCGATGAAATTAGCTTGTGTCTGGGAGCTACACGGTTCGTTGCACCGTTGAACCCACGAGGGATGGACTCAGCTTGGAGAGGCCTTTACCCAGCAGCAGATTGATCACAGCTGCTGTTGCTGCTGCTATTGTGGCAATGATATTGATTTGTTTTTGATAGAGTGCCCTTCGTGCCTCAAGAGTGCAAAACAAGCGGTAAGCAGTCGTCCCTGTGCGGCACGATGTGACTCGGCACCCGGCTCCCCAGCGGGCATCAGTCTGGTGCCAGTAGAGGCCGGTGATTGCCGCTGTCGTGATGTGCTCCCAGTCGAATTGGTTGTGATAGTGGCGTCGTGCGCACCGACCTCACGGACACGCCGATGGGTGCTTGCTCTGCTGCTCCGTCGCCGGCGAGTGCTGCCCCCCGCCCAGCCCCACGCTGCCCTCGCTGCTGCTGCTGCCGCTGCTGCCCTCCGTGCTGTCGGCTCGCGCCGCCGTGACCGCCGCCCCGTCGAGCGCCAGCGGCTGCCCCCTCCGGCGGCTGCCCCACTTGTGCCCGTCGGCGCGCTTGGGCTTCATCTTGGGGAAGGTGTGCAGGCCGGAGGGGTGCTCGCCCCACCGCGAGCACGCGCGCGCCTCCATCCACGCCTGGCCGTCCGCCCCCCCCGCGCCGCCGCCGGATCGCTCGGCCGCCCGCTGCAAGCACAGGGGCGCCAGGGCGCCAGGGCCCACACCGGGACTCGAACTCAGGCCACCGGCCACGCCGTCCACGGAGCGACCGTCGCTGTTGCCGCTGCGCACGTCCTCCGCCGAGAAGGTGAACACCTCTCCGTCAGACACTGCAAGGAGACGAATGTGGTGGGGGGGAGAGGGGGGGGTGTTGGTAAGGGGGAGCGTGGCTTGGGGCACAGCCTGGCGGCGACCGGGCGGACGGTGCGGTGATGGCGCGGTTCGCCGCGTCGTTTCGGTCGCGACGACAAATCCACGGCGACGATTCGCGGATGACGTTTGGGGAGGATGCAAAGTCTGCCTCGGGTTTTCCAGTCTGGGTACATTCAGTTGCGTAAGAGGATTACAATGGCAGTGGCTTCATCGTCACCCGCACTGCACTGATGCATCATCACCGCACATTACCGTAGACCCATAGACTCACACAAAAACCCACCGACTCGTACAGACGCACACGGAGGCCATAGACTCGAATAAAGACCCACAGACTCACATAGAGACTCACAGATTCACACAGAGCCCCAGATACTCACGTAGAGGCCCAGTGATTTGCATAGAGACTTACCGACTCGCAGACTCACAAGGAGACCCAAAGACTCACATAGACACCAACAGATTCACACAGAGACCCACAGACTCACACGGAGACCCATCGGCTGACAGAGAGACCCACAGACTCGCATAGAGATCCGACTCACATAGAGACCCAGATTCACACAGAGACCCACACTCATATAGAGACCCATACACAGAGAACCACACTCACATAAAGACTCGCAGACTCACATAGAGACCCACAGATTTACATAGAGACCCACAGACTCGCATAGAGACCTACAGACTCACATAGAGCACCGTACACAGACACATACTCACAAAAACCCACAGACTCACATATAGACCCATAGACTCACATAGAGACCCACAGACTCGCATAGAGACCTACAGACTCACACAGAGCCCCATACACAGAGACCCACAGACACGCATAGAGACCCACAGACTGACATAGCGACCCATACACAGAGACCCACAGACTCGCATAGAGACCCACAGACTGACATAGAGCCCCGTACACAGAGACCCACAGACTCGCATAGAGACCCACAGACTGACACAGAGCCCCATACACAGAGACCCACAGACTCGCATAGAGACCCACAGACTGACATAGAGCCCCATACACAGAGACCCACAGACACGCATAGAGACCCACAGACTGACATAGAGCCCCGTACACAGAGACCCACAGACACGCATAGAGACCCACAGACTGACATAGAGCCCCATACACAGAGACCCACAGACACGCATAGAGACCCACAGACTGACATAGAGCCCCGTACACAGAGACCCACAGACACGCATAGAGACCCACAGACTGACATAGAGCCCCATACACAGAGACCCACAGACTCGCATAGAGACCCACAGACTCGCATAGAGACCCACAGACTGACATAGAGCCCCATACACAGAGACCCACAGACACGCATAGAGACCCACAGACTGACATAGAGCCCCATACACAGAGACCCACAGACACGCATAGAGACCCCACTGAGAAACTGGCATGTGCTGGCGAGCGGCTTCATCATCGACGTTTTCTCCAGCGGTCGGCAGAGCCCAACACTCGTGCAGCAACAGCATCGTCATCGTCGTCATCGTCGTCGTCATCATCGCCATCATCACGTGGTGGCATCGCTTTCCAATTGCTCAACTATCGACCTGCACGCATCACCTGAGACTCGAAAACCCGCGGTGGTGTTTGATGCCTCTTCGATCTGCATCCACGAACCACCACTGCGGATTAAATTACATACCACTGTTGTAATTATTGCCCAAAGCTTTAACCCCTAAGAGAGAAGCAGTAAAAAAAGAAATGTCTCGCATTAGCGACTTGTTTTTAAATCGCTTAATTTGGATTTTAAAAAATTCGGACTGAAGCTGAAGCGCGTTTATGTATTTTTTTTTCATTTACAATGTCAAAATAAAGCTTAGAAGCCTTGAGGTTAAGCAAGAAGCGAACACATTATCGTTCTTAACAAGAAGCGTATTTATTAACGCAACATGGAACCCCCGTACTTACTCGTTGGATCGGGCTCTGGTGACCGTTTGCGGTTTTCTCTGCTGCTTCACTGAAAGACGCAATCATGCAATTACCATCCCCTTACGGAAAACTTCGCCTTAAATGGATCCTGGTTACGCGCCTCTGCATTCATACGGCAGTTGATTTGTCATTTGAAAGCCAACAAAAAAAAGTAATTGTTCGTCAAGTTCGAGTTTGTTCTTCAGCGACAACGGGAAATGTTTGTAACAATGAAAATTCTCGGTTGATATTCCCCGCAAAAATATGTGGTCACGTTTATCAATAAACAGTGGGTTCCTACGGCTCAAATTAGCCTTGAGTCGTTCGGTGCTCATCCCCCGTTTACTGCCCTGCCGAGTGAGTGGTGGGCAGTCCACATTCCTCGGGTGGGAGCGGGTCTATCCATAGGATAACCGCTGTTGGCTCCCGCATAAAGCGGTACCAATTTTATTCACCCCATAGTAATGATGGGCTGAGTCAACTGCCCCTCAACCGGGATTTGAACTCGCAAACCTTCAGCTTGCGAGCCGCTCGCTCCACCACTGAGCCACCCGGCTGGATTTATATAAAAAGAACAGAATAAAAAATATATATTTTTAATCATCCTATATATTTTCGTATGTAAAGCAGCTTTTATTCAGAATACATTGGTGCACAGCCGTCAGCTTCTTCAGCAACCGCTACGAGCGTGCGGGAGCGAAGCGTCGGACACCGTCAACGATCAACACGAGAGCGCGTCCCGTCGGGGAGCCGTTGCGGCGTGGGACCTCACGCGCAATTGCCCCGCGCGCGATTACACCGCGCGCTCACAGGGAACACGTGGACGGTTTCTCCGGCCGTTCTGGCCACTACTGGCTACGCCGGCCGCTCTGCCCACCATGGCCGCGCCGGCCGCGTGCCGTGCCGGTTGCATCGCTCACTGTTGCCGGGGCTGCTGACTCCGGGCGTGCTTGGCAGCGAGCGGTAGGTGTTGGGCGAACAGTTCTCCGACGACAAGCTCTTGGAGCGCTTCTTGCACTCGCTCACGAACTGCTCGCGGCACTGCTTGTGGCAGTTCACGCCGCAGTCTGCGAGCGTGTTGGTGGGTGGGGGCAGGTGGGGGTGGGGGGTGCGGGGTGGTGGGGGGGAGTGAGAGGGCACAGGTCACAGGGCGGAACAAGCGGGTTGCAGGTGAAGCCACAGGGTGGGCGACCATAAAAATACTTGGCTCCATTCAGCCTTAACTTATCTTTAAAACAAAATTATCCTGGAGGGCAGGGAGTGAACACCGCGGAGTTCTGGAGTTATCAGCAATGTAGACCAGCAGGCCCCAGTGTTTTTCAAATTCACACCCGATTGGGCTATTATCGGGCGTCGTGCCACGGGACGCAAACTCTGGCGGCGAGCGGCGCGACCCTCCGCGGATCGGTCAAAAGGCTCCCGGCGGTCGGCATGGCGCGCACGGCCGTCGCCTCGGCCGGATGATACCTCGCGAACAAAGCACTCGTCCGCGCAATTGCCGCGACGGTGGCGACGACGATGACGTCGCCAGTGTCTCACCTCTGCATTTGTAGCCTTGTTTGATGAGCCCCCACATCTGCAGTGACAAGGGAATGAAAACGAGGGGGAGCGCCGTCGTTAATGAGCACATTGTTTGTCAGACGGCGGCGGCGGCGGCGACGGGAGGAAGGAAGCACGCGACTGACGCAACAGATTAGAGGACATCTGGCCGATGCCTGTAACCCAGGCTGCAGCCGGGCTACGACAGGATGCACGCACGCACAGACCCTTCCTCTGGCTCACCAGCCACCGTCCGTCCCCCCCTCCACTCCCCAACAATGCTCTACGTGCTCAGCAAGGCATAAATACGCGGTGGCGAGCAGCTGTTCTGTTCGTCGCTGCTGCCCTCCCGCTCTCCGGCCCATCTAACCTTCTTTGCCCTCTTACTCGGCCGAGAGTTCCTCAAAAGCAAAAACGAAAACCTGCAGCTGAACAGCCGAGCCGTCAAGGGGTTGCCGGCGCGGCGACACTACCGGTGCTGCCGACATGCAGGGCAAGGGGCTTAGCAATGCGAGTGTGCAGGCGGTGAGGATGCACCGGGCCCCACTGCCAGAGGGGCCCAGGCACTGGGCTACGGAGAAGTGAGAAATTGTATCCCATTCATTACGTGTGTGTGTATGTATGTTGAACTTCTTTCGCACCATACGTAGCCGACCGCACTAATCAGAGGGGGGAGTACAACAACACTGAACACAAAAATCTGTCCGAAAAAAATGAGCTTTCAATTTAGATTATTTAAAAGTGCACAGCTCCCAGCGGCTTCCTCAATATCGGAAGGAAGAGCGTTCCAGACGGCCGCAGAAGCGCATCTGAAAGCGCGTGGTGCGGTGACCGCCTTTGTTCGGTAGTTAGCCAAAAGCCGTTGCGAGGATGACCGCAGTTCGCGTGATGATGGTTTATGCTCCTGGACGAGATCAACAAGGTATTGGTTGTTCAATACCTTGCCGACCATAGACACTATGTGGGTGGCAGGGTGCTGGCATAGTGCCTCACAATCGGGTACCCGATACCCGTACCCTACCCGATACCCGGCTACCCGTACCCGGCCGGGTACGGGTACCCGTTTACGACCCTAGTGCGGCCGGGTACGGGTACGGGTAAGGAATCAAAACCCGTTTGCGACCTCTGCTCACAGCAGAGAGGGCTCTGGGTTCGATTCCTGGCTCGAGCACCTTTCTGCATGGAGTTTGTATTTCTCCCCCCCCCCCCCCCGGTCGCGATGGCTAAAATAAAACCGTAAATGGTATTGGCCAAACATCATAATCCTCATTGCTGCGAAGAGACCTGCGAATTACTCAATTGGGATAACACAGCAGCAGCAACTTCGCCTCTGCCTGCAAAACCTTGGCAGGACCCCTCCTGCAAAAGGGTTTTGAGACTCAGTGTGGCTCATTTACTGGCTCAGCAAACGTCGTTAACATTCATCGTAAAGTAATCAAGCAGACGATGCGTCTTCTTCACGTATCCATCTCCACATAAATAAATCAAATAAAAAAATTCAGACAACATTTTCAGCGGCATTGTTTGAATACAAGCAAACTCCGGACGGCCTTCCACGTACTGTGTCTCGCCAGACGCTCAAGCGTGTAGCCGAACAAATGGGGTCGGCAACCAAAATAACAAGAAAAGCTAATTTTTTGCTATAATTCGCAATGCGAGCGAATGCGAGACGGTGGTGGTTCTCGATGAACGACCCCTGGGCCAGACGCTCTTAGTTGTTCAATGTTGGATTGCGGGGCGTACAACTCCCCGTCGGCACCCAATATTATCAGGTCAGAATCTGTTTTTTTAGTGTAATACACATAGCCAATCACGACGTTCGGTATTCCTCAAGTGCACTGCAGCCTCTAGTAACGTTACTTAAATGCTCTCCGTCAGCGTCTTCATTTAGACTCGTTGATCCGTCTCTCGTCACGGCCGGTCACAGCTTTGGTTTCTGCTGGGCGGCAGTCGTAGTCGCCACCGTCATCGTCGTCATCATGCTCGATGACTTCCGACCGCTGCTCCGAATCGTCGTTGACTCAAATGAAAAGAACGCTCTGCTCCTCAATGTTTTCGTCACTGATTTTTCGCGTTTTCGCGGCCACAACGGACGGGGTGCATGCACGCGTGCCGGGGGGAAGGGGGGGGGCGAGGGGGCGGGCGGCCCGCAGAACTCACGAATCCCGCGCAGTGCTCGCAGAACGTCGGCTTGAGGTAGGTGGTCTCCTGGAACCGGTGCACGAAGCCTTGGCCCATCTTGTGCGTCAGGATGGAGTTGGCTCGCAGGAAGTAGGCAGACATCTCCTCCTTGCTGATAAGGCCGTCCCTGCGAGAGGGGCGGATGGGTGGGTGGGAGAGGCGCGGGTTTGGTGAGCAGGCGGGCCGGGTGAGCAGGCGGACGGGTGAGCAGGGGGGCAGGAGATGAAAGGCGGCAGATGAAAGGTGGCGGCAGTGTTTGGAGTAAGGGCTTGTTGTCCCTGCCGCCTTCGGATGACACTCCCAGGCGAGGCCACATCACCCAGGGCCCTGGCGCCTCTCCTCTTCACAAACAACCTCATTTATTCATGAAGCACCTTTGACACGAATCCTCAAAGCACTCCGACAAAAATCCTTACAGAAATCCTGCAGTGGATTGGTGTAATCCGTCAGGGAGTGCCTTGCAGAGGTATGTTGTATTTTTAAAAGAAAGTTGTTCAAAGTCTTCGAGAGACATTTCCGTTTTTATCCCTGTGTGTAATGCATTCCACATTCTTAGAATAATAATAACGATGCCCTTTGTTCCCAAGGAAAGTCTCACCAAGTCTCAAGACAATTTTTCCGAGCGTCCTGCTACATTGGGATGTTCGGCTAATTCCTCGCGTTCGCGTTTGGCTTCGTGTGGGAGGAAACCCACAGTACCTGGAGAAAAACCATGCGTCAGAGCTAACCATACTTCACCAGGCTGGTCAGTGCGGGTTGGCAATGGGTGGTGTCCAGGACCAGTTCAGATATCTCTCGCCACTGCCGTTAGCCATGGCCGGGTATCGAACTCTTGCGGCCGAGGTCCACAGTTCGGCGCGGTTGCTCCTCTAGAAATGTTTATTTGGCCGTTATAGTGTTTTCATAAATGTTATAGTTAATAAAAAAAGGTTTTTTGGGTTAGATCGCATGAATATAAATGTGTCGTTAACCCATCACCACACCACACGGCCAATTAGTAAGGTTTGTAATGCAAACAATTAGTTCCTAATTGGCATGTTTTGTTAAACAATTAGTTACTTATTGGCACGTTTTGTTTACATGACAAACCTTACTAGTTGGCCGTGTGGGGTGGTGGTGGGTTAACGACACATTTATATTGACGTGACCTAACCAAAAAACACCTTGATTATGAATAATATTGCCCGCGAAAGCCTACGTGTCAAGTGTGACCGTGTAAAATAGTTGATCAAATATTAGTCGCATTGCATATTTTTTATACACATTTAAAATTACAAAATTTAAATATAAATTTTCATATCTGGTTCAAAAATTGTTTAATTCTCTCGCCAAAATGATGAACCCGCTCCGAAATTTTCCTCAACGCAAAAATTATCAGCTTAGCTTCCTGCGCCATTTGTCAGGATGCTCTGCGTCGTAGACAACGATTCCAAAACCAAATATACATCGAAGCATTGTGAATTGGGCGCGACAGGTTAGTGCCAGTGCAGCTGGAACACACTCGCGGCTCGGCAGCAAGGTGGACCTGGGTTCGATGCCCGACTAGGGTGTGTGTATGTTTCTCTCCTGTCCTGCGTCGGTTTCTTCTGACTTCTCCGGTTGCCTCCCATAGCAAAAAATAACAATTACACAATGTCACCGGTATTGACCAAAACATCCCAATGCTGAAAAATAACCTGCAAATAACTCAACTTGGGATCACACAGCAGCAGCAGCAGCATTGCCACCTGCTGTCAAAACTTGGCAGGACCCTCCTGGAAAAAAAGGTTTTCAGACTCAGAAAAGCTTTCCTGACTACACAAGCCTCTTCAGATGCACAAGTGTGCCACGAAAGAGGGCCACTGCCTCATAACATCCAGCAATGGATTGACACACCGTGCCCACCACTCCACCACGAGCAGTGCAGGCGATTGCACGTGGCGTACGCGGCGCTGTCAATCAAGAGCACGTTAGCGTGACGCACACATTCCCAGGGTTCTAGAGATGATCCGGCGATGCTGCTGCTGCTGCGTTGGCAGTGGTGTGCAAGCACGATCAATATAGAAACACGTTCGCCAATAACGCTGATGTGCTCTGACTTAACGAATGAATAAATACATCACACTCATTGGCTTGCTGTGAAGAAGGGTCATTGCCAGAAACGTCTCCTGTTACATTTTATTCCTTCTAAGGCCACAGTGTTATTGACGAACGGTGGCGAGATGTTAACTACTTCGCCTTGTATACAGGAGGTCGTGGGTTCTATCCCGGCCCTGACGCCTGCTGTATATTTGGAGTTTGCGTGTCTCTCTCCCCGTGGCCTCTGGTGTTCCACTCTACATTGAGAATCAATGTGCGTCTGGAGTATTTGGTTGCTATACATTTCCACGTGATAAGCCACTTCATTGAACTAGCATTTGTGTGGCCAAGTCGCTTCTGAAAAATAGCTATATAGCTCAATGGGCTTCACCTGGTAAAATAAAAATAGTTGAGTTTATCCAAAATAAAGGTTTAAGACCAAAACAGGAAGACTTCTTCACAATTCTGGCAAATCGCCTGATGAAGCTGGTTGTTGTGATCACAAGCAAAACGGCACAGTACTCAAATTGTAAATGTTGTGGGTTTACTCTCCTACACACCGGTGTGCTGGAAGTAGTAACTGATTGGCACGTGTTGTTTAGGTGACAAACCTTACTAATTGGCTGTGTTGGATGGTGGTGGGTTTAACGACACATTTATATTTACGCGATCTAACCTAACTCCCCCTCCCCACGTTATGGCTAATTTTGGTCGCGAAAGCCTACGTGTTTTACTAAGTTTAGTTTAGTTATTTGTGCTCATGCAACGCTGCTACCGCAGCCACAGCAGCACCGAAAGAATTAGCGTAAGAACAAGAACAATACATCACAAAGATGATTGTTGATCTAGAAACGCCGTTTGGGATCGAATGAAATGAGTGGGAAACGCCATGTACTCGTCTGTGGAGACGTTTGCGAGCAATGTGTGTGAAGATCAGACCTTCGGCAGTGTTTCTCAAGCGCTGAAAACGATCGGTTCAGCTGTTTCAGCACGGGTTGTTGAACACAGCGCACCCACAATAGCTAGTAGTGCACACGTGTATATCCAACGGTAACACACCCATCACCCAAAACTCCAACGGCGATTCAATACCACACCTCCGGTGGCTTTGTTAAGAAAAAATCAACGACAGTGCGGACACTAGAATAAGCATCGCTTATTCGGGCTCTAATTGCAAAGTCCGTAGCCGTCCACTCACTGGTCTTTGTCGAGCACGCAGAACGAGTCGAGGAAGGGGAAGTTGGCCGCGACCTGCTCGAAGTCCTGCTGCGAGATGTAGCCATCACGGTCGTGGTCGTAGTTCTTGAAGACGGACTGCCGGGGTGGAGGGGGGGGGGGGCGACGCTTCACATTCGGGACTCAAAGGGGAGCCTGGGGGGGTGGACTCAAACGGGGCCCAGGGCCACATGTTGGATAAGGGTTGTCTCGTTAATAACAAAAAAAACATCTGGCATAAATTCTAATGCCGATTAAAAAACAGCAAGCAGTCACATTTGCACGATGTGCCAGTAATTGTGGTATGATGGAATATATAAGCCATTATTCATAGTATTATTTGTATTGTTGTTACTGTTACGCTCATTTACCCTGGAAAGCCTCGCACGGGGTCTAGCGAGTATTTTTCAGGAGGGTCCTGCCAAGTTTTTTGCAGCGGGCGGGGTGGGGGGGTGCGAAAAGATTGGTAAGCGAATTCCAATTGAGACATTCGTGGGCAATTCTTTTTGACGGGACATCCTGGGACGCCGTGAATGGCGCTGGACATGAGAGTTTGCACCACCCTCGCTGTGACTCGGACCGTGTGTGCGGTGCCCTCGTGGAAGGCCGCCCGAGGGCTGCTCGCTAAACAACCGCACGGCCCAACCCAGCACAGCGGCCGTGGCCACCAGCCCATGCGGCTGTGGGGCGATCTTGGGCCAGCTATGACCACTGGGGCCACTCCTCTCCTGCAACAATAGCTGCAGAGGAACCCTCTGGTGGCCGTAGGGACCATTCTGGTGGCTATAGGGACCCTTCTGCTGACTGTAGGGACCCCTATGGTGGCTGTAGGGACCCCCACCCCCCGCTGGGCAGGGCTGTGGCGAGGCGGCACGCACCTCCACGACGCGCTGCACGTGCTTGTTGATGGTGGCCGCGTCGGGCTTGGGCGACACGCCGGAGGCCCACTCGGCCATCACCACCGGCTTCGAGGGCGTCAGCGGCTGCACGACCGCACGGTGGCACGTGGGGGGTGGGAAGGGGCGGAGGGGGGGGGACCAGCGTTACCACGACAGTCCGCGACGACTCCTGACTATCCGGGGCTTGTGCCGATCAGTGAAAAATCCCATCGCCTGCAGATTGTCGCATCCCATCAGCGGCGTATAATAATAATAATATTATTCATCACGCGTAGGACATTTGGCAAATTCCAGAGGGCGCGGGACAACCGTGCCCTCTGACCTTTCGCTCTCTCGCCACGTTCGGCTCGGTCGAGGCTCTACCGCATCGCATCGGCAGTGCCATGTGAATTGTTAAGCCGGAGCACCCCCCCCCCCCCCGCCGCATGTGATCCCACCCAGACTGCACTGCAGAGCGCAAGGCATTATGGGAATGAGAGCAAACCATGTGACAGCCCCAGGTCCCAGTTTCGCTGCGTGTTGGATGACCTATTTTACGCTTCCAGTTTCGCATTTTCAGATGCGTCTAACGACTTACATTTTTTGACTTTGAACTGCTGAACGAGGGCCTCCCTACACCGTGCGGATAGTGGGGGTTGTTTCACCATACTTCACCACGTTGGTCAGCGCGGGTTGGAAGCGTAGAAGTGCAGTACAGCAATGTATATATTTGTTTGCTGCCCTGCCCTCTGCTACCCCCCACGTAGCCCCACAGCAACCTGCTGTGCATGGCAGTCGCCCATCAAAGTGCTTTCCAGGCTCAATGGGCCGCTTAGCTTCCGAGCGCTGACGGGACGTGGCGAATTTCATGCGACCTGGTCGTCCGCTCGTTTTAAATGACTGTGAGTGGTTTTCATTTCGGCACGTGGCTTCAACGACGCTGTCTGCCTAACTTGTTTAGACATGGTCCTGCGCTCTTTTGAGTTGAGACATTTTATAGTTCTGCTGCAAGAAAGCGAGCAAAGTAGCAGCGGCAGCATTGCGAAGCGTGCGCGGGAGAAAAAAAAAAGAGAACGAAAAATTTAAAAAACCTTTCGTTGCACGCACGCGGCGCCGTGACCCCGCGAGGTTTTATTTTTGCCGCGCGTTTGACGCCATCGCGTCGGCGTCGATTGTTCTTACTGTTGATTTTGGATTCCGCGGTTCCCTCATCAAGGAGAGCTCGTAGATCTCGTCCTCCGTGTGGTACAGGTCCAGGGACAGCTAAGGGGAAACACGCGCGCCCCCCGACAAAAAAAACACGCACCACAATCCGTCACTCCCGGGCGCAATAAATGTGTCAAATAATGCCGACACTCGCGCGAGCAAAACAAGAAATATAAAGCTAGAGTTCGCCCGTGTTGCCAGTAGCCAGGGGAAACCTGGCACCCGCCTGGCACACACCCCTCCCCCCCCCCCACACTATCGTGGGCAAGTCCATCCACAGGGGCGAGGGGCACTTTGTCCTGGGCCTCACACGAAATAGGGTCCCACAATGGTCCCGTGCAATCATTCTGCCCCGGGCCTCCAGGAAGCCTCTGAAGGGCCCGGATCCCCAGCGTTGCCTGTCCGGCCATCATAGACAGCAGGCTCTAAGAATAAAAATACAATAAACTATTTTTTATATTTTACCAGGTAAGGTTCTCTGAGCTATATAGCTCTTTTTCAGAAGCGGCCTGGCCACAAATGATCATTCAACGAAGTGGCTTATCACGTGGACATTTACAGCAGGCAAATACTCTTATAAATGTGGAGGGAAAAACCGGAAGACCCGGAGAAAAATCCACGCGACCACGGGGAGAACATGCAAACTCCAAATATATAGGCGTCAGGGTCTAGATCAAACCCACGACCTCCTGTTTACCAGGTGAGGTCGTTAATATCTCACCACCGTGTATCAACAAGACTGCATGTGCAGCCCAGCATTATCAATCGACTGCTGGGTGAAGGCTTCCCCACACCGTGCCGGTTTTGAGGTTTTTTGGCCATACTTCCCCACATTGGTCAGTGCAGATCAGTGAATTGTGGGCCCAGGACTGATTCGGATATCACTCACCACTGATGTTAGCCTTGGCCGGGAATCGGTGCACTGCGCCACGGCTTCCCCATGGCCATAACTTTATTGGTACCGGTTTCCTTATATGACCAATAAACATGAATAATGTGCTGACATTATCGAATGAGTGACGAGATTGTTATTTTGTTTACACAGTTGCATTAAAAAGGTGGCCCGCAAGAAAAACATTCAGACGTGGCCTGATCATAATCAAGAGACGCAAGACAATCATGAGCGCCGTGGTAGAGAGCATACGTAACGAAGGACACACATTCGTTATTCGTTTTATTATTTATGTTCTCCAAAACAATGCGAAAGATGATTTTTCTTGTTGTACATCACGTAAGTTTGCGTTGAGCCAGGACTCGTATTTAGCAGAGAAGGGGGTTCTTGCCTCTAACATCTGGCACTTCAACAGCATCGGTCCAAGCAAGCCTGACTGTTGATGAGACACCGTGTGTTGAAACCAGTCGGGAGTTTTGCTTGTTTTGAACCAACGCTGCTGAGATTATACACTCCCAGAATGCCTTGCGGGTAGGTGGAAATATTTGTTGTCATACTTTTGTACGTGAATGAACAAGCACGAAGCCCGATCAAAATTGCATGTAAGGTGACAGTGGTTGAATCAATTGTGAGGTTATTAAAAGTGGTGGTGTAGTCGTGGTGACAGTTATGAGAACAGGCGGAAGATGTTAAAGATGAATTGGTCATAGCTGGAGGATGTGGGTAGGCAGTCGCAGTAGGGGTAGTGATAGGGGAAGGGGTGGTGATAGGGGTAATGGTAGGGGTGGTGATAAGGGTAGTGGTAGGCGATGGAGTGGTGATTCGGGGTAGTGGTCTTTCGTACAGCCGATGTAGATGCAGAGCACCAACGACAATTTCAGGTGGTCAAGCCAGATAACCAGGAGCAGCGGTGTGTATATCGTTGTGACGTCTCCTTCGTATTTGTGGATCGGGGCACTGCGTCGGTATGTGTTGTGCGGTCTGTTCTGGGTGACCACAGTGGCACACTGGGGAGTTTTTTTATTTCGATTTGTGCATCAGGTGTGTGCATCTGCCATGGTTTGTGCGGATGCGGTTTAGGGGTAGTGATCGGGGTAGTGATAGGAGTTGGGGAAGGCCTAGTTGTTGCTGGGAGGCAGAAAGTAGCAGCAGCAGGATGGGCTAACTGGTATACAGGAAGCCATGGGTTCGATCCCGATCCTGGCGCCTGTATATTTGTAGATTGCAAGTGCTCCCCATGATCGTGTGGATTTTTCTCCATGTGGCTGCTAGAAATTTCCACGTGATACTCCACTTCGTTGGGCTATCATTGTTTGACCAGATCGCTACTGAAAAATAGCTATACAGTTCAGTGGACCTTACCTGGTAAAATAACAATAGTTTTGAGTTTAGTTTATAGATTTTTAAGGGACGAGCGGAAGCAGGTTGTAGTAAAAATGATTGTTTTACGCGCAGTGGGAGTCTGTTCCAGCAGAGGTGGGGGGGGGGGGCACCATCTGCGTATTTATTTAAATGCACGAAAGTGCGTTGGTGGCGAGTGGTGGTAGTGGTGGCGGTGGGGAGCGGTGGGCAGCAATGGTAGCAGCGGTAGCGGTGGCAGCGGTTGGGAGCGGGGGTAGTGGCGGTAGTGGCGGTGGTGAGTGGCAGCGGTTGGGAGCGGCGGAAGCGGCGGTAGTGGTGGTGGTAGCGGTAGCAGCGGTGGTGAGCGGCGGTAGCAGCGACAGTGGCGGTGGTAGCGGTGGTATAAGCGGCGGTGGCGCTGGTTGCGGTGGTAGTGGTGGCAGTGGCAGCGGTAGCGGTGGCGGCGGTTGGGAGTGGCGGTATCGGCGGTAGCGGCGGTTGGGAGCGGCTCGTCTCACCGTGAGCAGGTGCACCAGGTCCATGTTGGCCTCGATGGGCGGCGGGGCACTCTGCAGGGCCACCAGCTCGCTGAAGGTGGCGTGCAGCTGCTGCAGCTTGAAGAGGTTGAGGCGCCCCTTGCCCAGCCAGTCGGGCAGCGCCGCGTGCAGCGCGATCAGGTCCTTGAGGTGCACGCCCAGGATGGGGATCTTGAAGCCCTTGCTCTCCGACATTGCTCGCCGGTAGTTGCAGTAGTTCCCCGTCGAGGCCAGCAGCTCGGTCATCTCGTACCAAACCTGCGCGAGCGGCCAGGCCAGTCGAGGGACGGGTGGGTTTGTGGGTGGGTGGGTCGGTGAGTGAGTGGGTGGGTGTGTGGGTGGGTCGGCGGGTGAGTGGGTCGGTGAGTGGGTGAGTGGGCAGCCGAGAGGGCAGCAAGCGAGAGGGCAGTTGTGATAATTGTCAGTAAGCCAGCGATATTCCACAATTTAGAACGCACGTTTCAGACAATTGGAAGGTGTGGGGTAATCGTTAAAGTAATGTTGAAGTGGCTTTTTTCATTGGGTTGAGTGTGTCAACCAATGAGAGGGGCTGTAATTCAGACATTAATACATTTTCCACCTCACTTGTCAACTGAGGAATTGCTCGTGAAATACCACTCCGGCAAACTGGCATCATCGACTACACATGGGCTGGTGTTTCCCTGTCAAACAACTGACATAATCCACAAATAAGCCGTAACATCTAAAACCCTAACTACTTCCCCTCAATAGGTCACCCCAAATAATTTGAAGAGGATGAATGTGAATGGTAATTTTGTCATCTTCTTCTCCGCGTGGCTGATGTTGTCGAGAAACAACGGTAGCTTTACGTCCGGGCGGTCGAGCCGGACAAGCGGAGCGGTGCGATCGCCGTGAGGGACCCAACCCATTACCGCGGGACGTGTAAGGACACGTGCGTCCGAGACTCGGCCACCGGTCAAGCGAGCGACCGCGGTGATGCACAGGTCGCTACCGCGCTGCTCCCCTGAGCCAGGGCCCACTGCCACTTATCCGCTCGCTCATTAAAAATATTAAAAAATAAAATAGAAAAAAATTAATTGGCTCCCAGCAGGCTGACGAAAATCCCTTCGTTAACCATCCCTCCTGACATTGCACCTTGGGATTGCGTGCGTTTATTAATATTTTTTAAAATAAAATTCGTTAAAAAAATCTTGTCGAGCGGAGCGTTAATTCCCCCCGGGGGACATGGGTCACGCACGCGGCCCCCGGCGCAAGCGGCGGCGGCGCTCGATGGCAACGCCAGCGCCGGCAAACTTCTCAGAACAGCGCTCGCTCACTCACTCGCTCACTCACTCGCTCACTCACTCGCTCGCTCACTCGCTCACTTACTCGCTTGCTCACTCACTCGCTCGCTCACTCGCTCACTTACTCACTCACTCGCTCGCTCATCGGCGAGGGTTTCGGAAACGGTTGCCGCTCCCACGGCCGCCCCCCGTGCGATGTCCACCCGTCCCCCCCGCACGGGAGAAGCCGCCGGCGAACGCGAAAGGCGCTCGCGGGCACCTCGCGGAGATTTACGTTCGACCGCCGGGGGGGGGGGGGGGGCGCGTGGGGGGGAGGGGGGGTGGTGTGCGAGCTACGCCGCCCGCACCTTGTTGACCTCGGGCGTCTGGAGGGTGTTGGTGTCCTTGAGGCGCGAGATGGCGCTGTGGCTGAGACCCCCCACCACCGCCATGAGCGTGTTGAAATTCTGCAGGTGCCGCAGTTTCTGAGGGATGTTTTATTTTTTTGGGGGGGGGGGAGAGCGAGCGGGTGAGATAGGGAGAGGGGAATTGAGGGAGATAGGGAGAAAAAGGGAGAGAAGAGATGGAGTGATTGGAAGAGAGGGGGAGATGGAGGGAGAGAATGGGATTGGGAAAGTGAGAAGGAGTGCTGGGAAGAGATAGGGTAAGGGAGAGACAGTAATCGGTGGAGAGTGCGACAAAGCGGGGGAGAATGAAATACTAAGACAGAGAGGAATAGGAGGGAGAATAGAAAACAATATTGATAGTGAGAGAGAAACAGTGAGGGAGATAGAAAGGGGAAAGAGGGGACCGAGTGAGTGAGAGAGAGAGGGGAAGAGAGAGAGGAAGAGAGAGCACTGATTTTGTAAGCGAATTAGCGGTTGGCGGCTTCAATGTTAACATATTCTGCCGCTTCCTCGCCCCCGACAGTTGCGCACACGCACCGCACGCACCGCACGTGGCACACACACACACACACACGCGCACACACACACGCACCTCACGCACCGCACGCAACGCACGTGGCACACACGCACACACACACACGCGCACACACACACACACGCACACACCGCACGCACCGCACGCGGCACACGCGGCACACGCGGCCCGGCCTGTTACGCCACGGCGGCAGTTTCATCCGGAGATGTGAGAGAGATTCCGTGCGGCTGGGTGTGACCGTGTTGTGGCCGGCTTGTGGCAGTGTGCGGCAGGGGTTGTGGCCGAGGACGTGTGGCAGGGTGCGGCCGGGTGATGCGCGCGAGGCCGGCGCGGCTCACCTGCGCCACGTGGATGAACTTGCCGATGACCTGGGCGCGCTGCTGCGCCGTGGGCTTGCTCAGCACCATGAGCTGCACCCACTGGGACACGCCGTTGAAGAGGCTGATGGAGCGCTCCAGCGTGGCGTTGTCCACCAGGCAACCCTTGAGCACGTAGCTCTGGTAGTCCGTGAACTGGACAAGAAGCGAGAGGGTGAGTGAGTGGGTGAGTGGGTAGGTGAGTGTATGCGTGGGTAGGTGAGTGTATGAGTGGGTAGGTGAGTGTATGAGTGGGTAGGTGAGTAAGTGGGTGGGTGGGTGAGTGTATGAGTGGGTGAGTGAGTGTATGAGTAGGTGAGTGAGTGTATGAGTGGGTGAGTGAGTGTATGAGTGAGTGGGTGAGTGTATGAGTGGGTAGGTGAGTGAGAGGGTGAGTGAATGAGTGAGTGTATGAGTGGGTAGGTGAACCCCGGCCACCGTGAGTGATCAGGAGCTTCGCGGGCACCCTGTTCGGCGGAGGTTTATTTAGGCCGGAGAAAACCCACGCGTGTGCGAGGGGGAAACACTCAATCCCATACAGTCGGAACAGGTGAGAGTCCACATCTTGAACCCTTTCTGGCCAGCCGGGGTACGGCTCATCCTGGACGCCCTCCGACGGGAAGGTTCAGCTTCTCATTTGTGCAATGATCCACCAAGCCTCGGCTGCGCGACGCTGGATCAGAAGCGTACGTAGCCACCGCCACGACCGTGCGGGGAACCGGCGGTGTAGACTTCCGGTGGGGTGAGAGGGGAGGGGGGCATCAGCCGTGAGCAGGACTCACGGAGATGCGGCGGAAGGCCTTGAACTCCAGGTAGGTGAGGTGCTCCGCCAGTTCCGCCGGCTCCAGGTGGTCGAAGAGCAGCGACACCTTCCGCTTGCTCTTGCAGAGCTTGCTGCGCTGCGTCACGCGGCGCATCCACTCATACGATGGGCTGCACCAGCGGGCACGTGGTGGGGGAGCGGGGGGTGGGGAAGGGTCAAGGGTCGGCGCGGTGCGGTGGGACGCGCGCACACACGAGTTCCACTCGAAGTCAGAGCGATCTGCGGCGGTTCAAATGAGCGTCGAGGCGTCGGTGCTCATCTCCTGTTTACGGCGACGCAGAGCCGGTGGTGGAAATTCCACATTCCTATGGCCGGGGCCGATAATATCCATCGAGCAACCGCTGTTGACTCTCACGACAAAGCGTTTTATTGCACGCGGAGGGAGGGGTGATGGGCTGAGCGCAAGTTCAGTCGTCTGATATAGGATTGCTGATTTTAAAAATATTAATATAAAAACACACTTAAATTTCTATTTAAAGCTTTCGTGACTGCAGGGATTCATCTTCTTGGTTCTTTCGGTAAAGTCACGTAGAATGGAAATAAAAAAATAATAATAATAATAAAACATAATAAAATAATTCTCACGACGTTACAGCCACAACGCAAGCAGCCGTCCTCAGGTGAAGAACAGGTCTGCCAGACCGCTGTCTTTCTGACAGACCTGATCTTCACCTGAAGACGGCTGCTTGCGTTGTGGCCAAAACGTCGTGAGAATTATGAAATAATGTTTTATTTTTATCATTTTATTATTTCCATTCTACGTTACTTTACCGAAAGAACCAAGAAAAAAAACACACTTGTAATTCTCAGGTGCATGTCTGATTTCTGTTCTTCTTTCTCCTAATTTATTTAATCTTTCCCCCCCCCCCCCCATGTCATCCCGATAGTAGGATCGGCGTCGTGCCATCAGAGTCTATTCTGGAAATCTTTGTTGAGCAGTGCGGTGAACGGTGGGGTGAGCGGTGCAGTGAGTGGTGTGGTGAGTGGTGTGCAAAGTGGTCAGGTTAGCAGTGCGGTGAGCGGTGCGGCGAGCGATGTGGTGAGTGGTGTGGTGAGTGGTGTGCAAAGCGGTGTGGCGAGCGGTGCGGCGAGACCTACATGGCGGAGATGTCGACGAGGCTGCAGTGGTCCTCCTGGCCCAGCGTGCAGGCCAGCTCCTTGAACTCCTCCATGAGTCGCGCCAGCCCAGCGTCCAGATTAAACACGGCCGGGAACTCCTCGATCCAGAACCTGCCGCCCCGTCATTCAATCGTTCATTCACTCATGCGTTCATTCATTCATTTATTCAATCTCGTGGAAAGAGGGCCCCGTCTTTCTCATGTGGGAGTCAGCTCCCACGCTAGCCCCAGGTCTGGCCATCAGGGGTCGGTCTCGTGTCATCTACCGCCCCCTTGAGTCAATCCACTGCTGGATGAGGGCCTCAACGCGCTGTCGCCGTCAAGTAGGGGTCGTTTGACCATACTTCACCACGCTGATCGCCGCGAGTTGGTGAAGGCGGGCAGGGAGCACAGAAGTACAGTGCAACCACGTCCACAGTTTGGGTTGCATGGCCACACTCGCGCTACCACTGTGGCTTGTGTCTTTCCATGTTTGGCCTTCCCCAGTGCACCGCAATCCCCGATAGCGTTATTTAATCATCTCAGTCCTTCGTTAATCCATCTGGTCACGGTCGGTTATGCTTTTGGTAGCAGCGGTGGCCGTCATCGTCACGCTCCGTTACTTTTTGTCCCCTCACAATCACCGCCGACCGAAATAAAATTCGACAATGAACGTCGCCGGTCTCGCCAACGAAGCGAATGCCGCGCTCGCTGAACGCCAGCGACGCTCAGGCGGCCGATGCCCTCGGCCGTGCTGCTCACCTCACGAAGCGGCAGATGCGCAGGCGCGTCCGGCTTCCCTCGAGCCCCGTCGCCTCCTTATACGTGGGGCCCTCCGAGTCAAGGGCCATCGAAGATCGCGGAGAAAAACCCACCGCGGGAAACGCGCTCCCCATCCGCATCGTCGGAAAAGACGTAACAAATATAAAATATAGAACCCTCCTCGAACACGAGGAATGAGGAGAGCCGTGGTCTGAAATTCTGGACAAAACGTTTAAAATGCAGAGTCTGAGACAGTTTTGCAACAGGCTTGAAACGGCGCTGCCATCCCAAAGAGCCAGCGGAGTGTGGCGAGCGTGGTGGCGCATCCGTGATGGGACTGGGCTCACCGTACAGGCGCCTGATAACAAAACTTTCACACTTCCTTATGCGGCGAACGCAGGTGAAAAAGCCACCATCAGCTCGAGGGGGAGAGTTAAATTGTTGGTGTGCGCGAAGAGAACACGGGACCGCCGCGCGGCGTGGCACATTCCACGTTGCACGCTGGGCTGCATTTCACGAGCTGGGACGAGAGGGGGTGACGAATTCATAACTCCGGTGGGGTGATGGTCTCCGATGACTTCGCGAAAAATAAATCGCCCATCGCGCTTAAATTTGGTTTCGCACTTAATTTGGCCAATTTCCCACCTCTGAGACCCTACGCCGGTTACAGGGCCACACGAAGTGCGTCGAGCGTGGGCGGAGAGGCCAACTGAAGCGAGCTCGGAAGAAGTTCTGTGACATTTTCTGAAGGACGTTCTCCGACACGGGGCGATGTACTGGGCTATAGTTGCCGAGTTCCAAATGGAAGTGTCTTTGTCCATGTATGACGGCACAATTTGAAATATAATTTAAAGAAAATGTTCAATTATTTTACAAAAAAGCAGGGCAGTATGTATGTTGAACTTCTTTCGCACCGTACATAGCCACTCATACACCCACTAATCGAAGATGCGGGGGAAAGGACAACAAACTAAAAACACAAAAGCAGTTCTAAAGAAATGAGTTTTTCGGGAACTCTAAAACGAATCATCGGCCCACGTGAATCGAGACTCAGCGTCACAATTCAATTCCCCCAAGTTGTCCTTCTTAAAGTCGTGCGAGTTTCATTATCACCACCTCGGTCACGTCGGTCACGTCACGGACAACTGGCAGACAATATGGCAATAAGTTATTTAAAAAAAATAAAAACTTTGGCGGGTTACGCAAACGAGACGAGGCTTCGAGGGCACAAAGATTGGGGGGGGGGGGGGTGCGGGGATGAGGGGGGGGGTGAGTCGGGTGGGGATGGGGGGGGGCAGCTCTTTGGAGCGGCAGCGACGAATTATTCACATCGCACAAAAGCCACAGCAGTAGCAGGAGCAGCAGCAGGAGGAGGAGGAGGTTCAACCACAACAACGGCGGCGTCGGCGCGCTCGTTAAACGTCCAATCACCCGCGCTCACGCTCCCCATCGCTCCGGACCCAGACGCTTTGTGTTTTGCTCCGGGCCACCCAATATGTTTCCTCCCCGAGAGATAAGCACGCCAATTATCTGTGGCGGGCACTGGTGGCAGATAGCTTGCTTGTGTGTCACAGCGAGCTTGGCTCTTTGTGGGAGGGACCGGGGGGGGGGGGCGAAGTGGGGGGGGGGCTGCTTGGGTGAGTCTTGTTTTTCTCTTTTATATTCACAGAATGGGGGTAAAAAGAAACCAAAATAATATTTTGTTTCTGCAATAAAGAGGATGCTGATGAGTTTGACCGCATCCTCATTTGCTAATTACGTCAAAGCCGTGAACATCTGCGGGCCCCACGTGCCGGCCACTGCGTGGGCGAATGCCGGCGGCGTGGTCATGTTCACTCCACGGCTAGATGGGGGCCTCGCCTCCCCACCACGGCGGCGGGGGGTGGGGGTGGGGGTGGTGGGGGGTGGCAAAGCTTCGCCACGCCGGGAGAAGCGACACGGGCGCATAGAAATACGGCGTCACACGAGACTGCCATGGCCACAGATGATCCCGAGTGGAGCCACCGCGACGCCTCATGGAGGTGGCCGGCCATACGCGGACTATCTGGGCACAACCTTTGCTTAGCCTCCGTGAGATCGTGAGATTGGGCGCCATCCTAGGCCGCTATGACGACGGGCGGGCGGGTGATTATTTTTCGTGTCATTTTTGTTCCGGCAAAGGGATTGACGTACCTAGCGACCTGGCAGATCTCGCGCTCAAAAGATATCCGCGTGAAACCGTGCCGCGACCACCACCGCCACCACCGTCCACTGTCACAGCGCGAGCCAAAGCCACCTCGCGTGCCGTCACGTGTGCATGTGGCGTGTTGTGTGTTGAACTTCTTTGGCACCGCACGTAGCCAAGCGTGCTAAATCGTAGGTGCGCTCGTGAAACACCGCACACTCTGAGTGCCGCGTTTAACCATATCGCTGACCCCCCGCCCCCCCAACATAGCTAACATTTCCGAGCGATGCCGGTCCGTTGCATGGCGGCACCGTACGCCCCGGTGGTGCCGGGTGAGAGCGAGGGACGGTGGGAGGGGGGGGCGATAAGGATGGGGGGGAGGGGGGGCACACATAGAGGAGGATATTGCTCGAGCAGCTTGCATGCCAGGTCGGCCGACGAGATGAACCAGCGATGCATGAGCAGCAGCATCCGTGGCACGGGGCTGTCTCCTGTGGGCTCGCCCGCTTCGTCTGGGGGGGGGGGGGCGGGGGGGGGGGTAAAGGGAATGGGGAGGGGGGGGCACGAGGGGGGGGGGGGTGGAGAGGAGAGAAGGGTTATGGGGGAAGGGAAGAGGAAGGAAGAGGCAGAGTTCCTCTGTCAGAGTTGCTGTCAAACTCGCGTACAGTACGGGCGGGTGGCGCAAGCGGGCGGCCGAGCGTAGCGGCGCTCTCTCTCTCATCACGAGGTGGGGGGGGGGGGGAGTTGGGGGGGGGCGTTGGGGGGGGGCAGCACCACCTGGGCCGAGCCGGGCGGCACAACGACGGTGCCAAGCGAGCACCGCCTGTTCCCGTCAGGGATCGAGTCAAGGGCCACGGGGTCTCCAGTTACGCAATCTGATTGGCGACCTGCATTTCGAACGATCGCTTTTTGTTGTTGTTTTGAAGACCCGTAAATCCAGCACTGTCGAGGCAGCGAGGGTTGGTAGATCACCGCGGAGATGTTCTAAAGCGTGGGCGTCGTGGAGGAGATGTACTCCTGGTTCGCCAGGAGAAGGCGGTACAGCAAGTGGACTAATCACCAGCTGTGTCCATCTGTACAGGGATAGAGCGTTGCCCCCTCGCGCAAGGCGCTCCGGTTTTCTTGCCGTGTAATAAACACGGCTCGTCATTAATTGGCTGAAAAAAAATCCTTAAGTAAAAACCCAATGTAGCAACAGCGGGACCCTCCTGATAAAGAGTCATTCGACTGAGTGTGCCTCTCCCCGACAAATGTAACAATAAAGTATTGTTGTTAAGGATTCCTCTTCTATTGGAGATGGCTGGGTAGCGCAGAAGTCTCATCGCTGAGCTGGCACCACTGAGGATTCAGCCTGCGACGTACAGAGACACAAAGAGTTACTTAGAGACCCGCACACCCGCCTAGAGACCCACAGAGTTCGCATACACTTAGTTGTGATTAAACCGTGTTGTCATCGCATTCACATTGGTATATATGGCTACGTCTCAGCTCTGAGAATTATAATTAACGTTTGATTGTTGCATCAAGAACATTACTTTCATGTGGCATGATGGGTGGGGAAGTAGTGTCCACTACTGTGTGTGGACCAGGGCTCACTGGACGGGAATTCTCAGAGGTAGCTCTGCTACGTCCGCTTCCACGGACCGCTCTCTCACACGAAGTGGATGGCACTGCCCTGTGAGCGATCCAAACGGATATTCCGCCCTCACGGCAAACGACGCCGCCAGTGGCACGCTCGGGATAAACTTGGCTACAAAAAAAACAACGGCCTAAAAAAAAAAAACACCACTCCAGTGACGAAAATAATCCGTCTATTAATAAACTCCGCCGACCATCTTGAAGCGTGACCTTCACGAGGTCGTTAATTAGCAACGCTGGACGCCAACGCCAGAGCTCCTCGCGGTGTAAATCAATGGTTTGTTTCTCTCTCTCTCTCTCTCCTCCCCCTTTCTCTGTCTCCCTGTGTGTGGAAGAGAGCGGCGTCCATGAAGGGCCGCGGCTAATGACGCACGGCGCGCGCGGCGGAGAGACGCGATACCCACGAGCTGCCAACCCTCGGTGCAACCGATGCCACCACCGACCCCCCCCCCCCCCCACGATGGAGAGTTCGGTGGGACTCATCACAAAGGGCGCTGAAACCGCACTCCGCGTGGCACTGCTCGTCACCCGACCGCTTCATTGCCGGGTGCCTGCACGGCCGCCCTGTGCTTGGGCCCTGCGCGGGTGGGCACAGGCATCTCGGAATAGATTCGTGGGACGGAACAATCGAGCAGCGTTGCGCTGAATCGCGCGGTAAGAACGCCCTGTGGGTGACGTTCTTGCGTTCTAGTGTTTTTCCGTCTTGCGTTTTGTTGTTTTTGTGCCGTTGTTGATGGCTGGGATTTATTTTATGGTCCCCCCCCCCACCTATTAAGCCAGGCACTGTCGTTTTCTAATTGTGTTTGTCCTTTTTACTAATTTTAGACCCGTTCGTGCGATCGGCGAGACTTCCGCCCGGACCTCTCGCGGCGGCGGCGGCAGCAGCAGGAGGAGCGCGACACTTTAAAGTTGGGCAACGGCCCGCGGAAGCGGATGTCGCTGGGCTACTTTCGAAAACAGGCCGCCCTGTCTTACAGAGAGCGTTAATGTTCCTGGGCGCGACAGGACAGTCAAGTCCGACAGCGTTGTACTTCTCAAGATCTGGAATTCACAACCACGTGCATTGCGGGTAGCTGCGGCCACTAACCCAGCTGACCACTTTGAAGCTTTGCATTGTTAAAGGTGGCACCCACACACGTATGTAATGTGTGTGTGTGTGTTGAACTTAATTCGTACCGTACATAGACAAACGCGCTAATCAGAGGTGCGGGAGGAAGCACAACAAACTAAAACACAAAAAGCAGTTCTAGGGAAATTCGTTTTCTTGCTAGATTTAAAAGCGCAAAGCTCCAGTAGCTTCCGAACAAACATCTCTGTGGCTCGTGGAAAGCCAGCACTCACCCCAGGATACCTCGTAATCAGCAGCCATGTTCCATCCACTGCTAGACGAAGGCGTCCCTAAGCTGTTGCCATCTGTCACGGGTCCTGCATTGCATCAATCCACGGAGATTCCCGTTTCTCCTTGAGCTGCCACTCCTCCTTTATTCTCGACCACCAGCCATCGTCACTTCCAGCGGTGACACGTCCTGCCCAAGCCCAAGATGTATCTAACTTCTTGCACGCGTTCTCTCATCCACGCGTTCCTCTTTCTGCCGCTCGGTGGGATTACCAGCCTGAACCTCTCCACGCTTCTTTGCGCCCTTTCCTGTCGTGTTGTGTTCTCAGTCATGTCAGGTGGATAGACACCGATTACGAACACCACTCCCCAGGTACATTCGCAACTCTCAGAGAGAGAGAGAAAATGATTCAGATGTGTGGAAATTCAGCCAGAATCGGCACCAACAATTGCCGAAGCTCTGTGGTCCTGCATTGGAATCTTTGGCCAACTCCACTGGTGAGTGTCCTGCTCAAGTGGGACAAAACCGGAGTGCCCAGAGAAAAGAAAACCCTCTCATGCAAGGAAAGGGGGATGACACTCAATGTCACCACACAGATGGAAATGAACCCATTTGCTCTCCTGCCATCGCACCCTGACAAACCGAGGAGATTGCCACATCGACGCCCACGGGCAGGGGAGGGAGTTCCACAAATGTGTGGTGATACACGCTGAACTTCGTTCGCACCGTACGTAGCCAACCGTGCTAATCGGAGGTGCGGGGGGGGGGTGGCAGAACCACGAAGTGAACAACCCTCGCTGCCTCCACACAGTGCCGGGTTACAGGGCACGTGCGGCGTAGCCCCCCCCCCCCCGCCCCCCCCCCCCCCCGGCGAGGCGAGTGAACGGCGCCAGTGACGAGGAGGACACCTCGCTGACGAGGAGGGCCAGAAGACGCCACCGACGCCAGCGTCTCGGCCCGTTAATTTACACGGCGGCTTCCTGGGGGACGGATGAAAGCGGAGAGCGTGGAGGAGAGGACCCCCCCCCCCCCCCCCCCGAGACGCAGCGGAAATCTGCGGCCCGGCGCCGCTCAGAAGCCCTCCGCGTGCCGCGGGGCGCGGCGGCGGGATCTGGGCACAAAGCTGCGTCGGGGGGACGCACATCGACACGCACACACACACACGCGCCCGGATTCCTCATATAGCCCACACATGCTGCAGGGGCACGTGCTGTTGGTGAGCGCCTCCCAAGGCCGGCACAGCCACACCGGGCCGTGACCTCTCCCGGCCACCTTTGCCTTCACACCGCTGATGTTTTCAAACAGTACCAGGTATTCGTTTAAGGCTGAGTCGACCTAGGGGAGGCCCAGAACCGGTTCAGATATTCGCCACTAATTGTGGCTGGGTTCGTTGCGCAGTGTGTACAAACCACGACCTTAACAGGCTGTTGGGATGAATGCTGTTAGCGAGCACCTATTATGGCCGCCATAGCACATGAGGGGGTGAGTGACCAGCACCACACCTGGCCACCTTTTTTGCCCAGTGCTGATGTTTACACGATGCACCAGATACTTATTTAAGGCTCAGCCAACCTTGGGTTGAGGCCCAGGGCCAGTTGGAATATGTTGGCCATGACCGGGAATCTGATCCGCTGAGCACTGCACCACCGCTCCCCGCACTCTCAAAAACGCACCCACACACACACGCAACAACAATAGCAGCGGCCATTCACCAGCAAGCGACGGTGATGTCACCGCGGCACCTGCACAAAGGGTGAGGTGACATTTTCAGGATGTCACGTGAAGTGGCAAGAGGTCAACGAACAGGCCCAGGTGTTACGGGTCAGGCGACTGAGATGACACGCACGCACGCGCACGCACGCGCGGTGCGTCGCTGCACAGCTGCGGCCGCTTCCTGCGGAACCAAGGCCACCGCTGAGCGCCACAAATAGACGCCGGCCGGTGGTGGCGGCGGCAGTGGCGGTGGTGGCTGCGATCTGATGGTGCGACGAGCGGCACACGTGTGGTGGCCCTGCGCCAGGGCCATCCCCACGGCCAGAGTTTTGTTTTAAAAGCTTTTTAAAAAAAGCAGCACAACGCAAAGGCGTCATCTTTATCGTCCTTATCGTCATCATCGTCGCGGCCATGTTCAATACACTGCTGGATGAAGGGCTTCCCCAAGCTGTCGGCAACTTCCGCGACGTTTCAAGGTCCACGTTGATTTTGTCGAACGAGGCGAGAACTCGGGAGACCGGGAGAGAGGAGTCATTGGCAAGAGCGACCTGGGCCACCGGCAATCGTAACAATCCACCGAGCGCTTGCGCACGAGCCAATTCTGTTGCTCCGTCTCCATGGTGGATGTTCCTTGGGCGAGCCGCCACTGTTGCCGATATTCTCGCCCACAAGCCATCGCCCCTTGCAGCGACGTGTCCCGGAGAAGACCCACATTGCACTTGCATCGAGGCTGAGCAACAGGCACCAAAGACCCAAGACCCCGAGCGGCTGGCGTAAAAAGGCGTGGCAGATACGAGATAACACGATCAAACTCACGGCGTTGAACGGTGGCAACAACGCCTGGGTAAAAAATACATTTTCAAAAATGATCGCACGAGAAAGGAGACGTCGGCCTAATTGAGGGCGCTCTGTCGGAAATTCGAAGCCGGGATCGATGGGATCCGTGACCGTTCGCACGTTTGAAGGACAAAAGCGAACAACCGTCGTGTCCGTTCGTTTCGTTTAAACAAAACGGGCATTGTAATTTCGTGCTCGAGAGATTTAGCCGATAGAAAAAAAAGGGACCGTCCTCCTGCAGAGTTCCGAACGAGACGCTGAAGAGCGCCTCGTAAACCGGCGCACGTAGAGGTGACGCGGACGGAGAGGGTCAGCGCCAATTCGGAACTTGGCCCCTCGATCGTTCGCTCGCTCCGAGCCGAACGACCTCATCGAGAGCGGTGAAACAAACCGTGGATGTGAGGGCATCGTGGATGTAAGGACACGGTGGAACAAAATTACTAGAAAGTTGGCACAGAGCCCACGCGAAACGTCGTCTCTCGCGCACTCGAGGCCGGGGGAATATTTAACGAAATTACAGCAAAACGTGACGACCCTCCCCCTTCCATGCACCCGACTCCGTCGCTATGGGCAACGAACGCATCAAACAAAGAGGCGCAACGGGGCGCGAGCAGAAGCCAAGTTCGCTTGTGTCTGCTGCTGCTGCGGCTGCTGCCCTCCATGTTGGTGCCGCCCCCTCTCCGAGTCGCCAGCTGCTGCCCTCTGCGTGTGTTTGTGTGCCCGGTACGTGTGAGCCAGCGGCTGCTACTCTCTCTCCCTCTGGGTGACTCGCTGGTTACTTCTGCACGGCCTCCCAGGGTGCTGCCATCTCCCATCGAGTCACTGGGTGCTGCACCCTCTCTGCGGACAGCCCAAATGGGGAAACAGTTAAAGCCTCCGGGCATGAGGAGGGACAGAGGAGGGGGTGTGGGGGCGGATAATGGGGGGGGGGGGGGGGGGCTTCTGCTGTACACGCGGGGAGTGACCGCGAGGGATCAGCTGCACTCCCATCACATGCCGCGTCACATGGCCGCAACGCCGCCCAGCGCGCGTCCCGAGCCGCTCGCTCTCCGCGGCTGCGACGCGAGCAGCGGCGCTGGCACGGGCCCTGGAGGAGGGGGGGGGGCACTATCCCACGCCCCCCCACCACTCTTTGTAGCCTGGGTCCCCTCTGGCCCACGGGCATCGGTGCAGCTGCACCAACTGCGTACTCGATGGCTATGACGCTGCTGGGTTTCCCTTTGGCGTGAACCTGGGCCGGTGAAGGTGGGTGGATTCGTAGAGCGGTGCACGAACCACTGAACCACCACTCCACCCACCAAAATGTTACTGGGGCACTCGCCACCATCACCACCGCCATGACTAAACCACACCGCACGATGGATATGAAACCCAGCAGAGCTGGACGGATTGATGTTGATCAAAGTGCCACGAGAAGAGGTAAAATGATGATGATGATGGCGATGATGATTTTGATGATTATGAAGACGAAAACAATGATACAAAAGCATTGGGGCAGCACTGCCACGCTCGTCCACTTCGACCTAGAGCTCACACAATTGTAACCATTGCGATTCACAATCGATACTTGGGTTTGGCCACGTAATGATGTGGCCAAGTGTGTCGCTAAGACCCGTCCACCACTCGACACGGCCTAACAAAATGCTCAATGTGTCACGTGCGCAAGTGCGGAAAGCGCTGAGTGTGATTGCACCGGCTCTCCGCGGGTGGAAGAACGGCCACCTCAACCAAACCCAGCCGCACTTCGATCGGCGACCTTTCGCCTGAAATTGCCGCCCTAGGCACCTCCAGGACAATCCAGCGAGTCAGAATGAGATCCGCAGAATCTCAACGACGCGGATTTGTCCGGGTCACCAACGCGCGTCCGAAACCCAAACCCCCCCCCCCAAAAACATCATCACGCGCGACGACGCCGCCGCTCACCGAACGCGCCGATGCAGGTGTGGAGCAGCTCGTCGATGGAGGCCGCCTTGCAGACGACCGCGTCGGCCTTCGCGGCCTGCACCGCCGACATGGCCCCGCTGGCCGCGGAGCCGAGGCCCCTCAGGAGGACGTCGCGGCAGGACTTGTGCCGCACCAGGAAGGCCGCTCCGGCCGCGACGCAGCCGCCGCCGCCACCGCACTTAGGCGCTGGCCGGAGGTCGCTGGCACGCCGGCATGGCTTCCTGGTTTTCCTGCTGCTGCCAGGAATGAGAGGACAGAAAAGGGGGGGGGGGCATGAGTGAACTACTGCCAAGTCCACGCAGAGGAGGCCCAGGACAGGCTCGGGTAATCGTCGCCGATGTTGGCCGTGAGCGAGAATGGAATTCCGGGTTCGTAGCGGTGGTGCGCTAACCACGTCAATACCGCACCCCAAAGACTAAATATTTTCCCCGTATAGCGTTAACCGAATGTTGGGGAAAGTATCTGCTAGCGAACACCTATGAAGGCCAGCACGGCGCACAAAGGGGTGGGTGGGCAGCACCACTCCCGGCCGCCTTTGTATCCCCAGTGCCGCTGTCTACACACCGCACCAGGTGCTTATTTAAGGCTGAGTCGGTTTCGGGGAGGCCCAGGACCGATTCAAATATTTGCCACTGTAAATTTGTTGGGAGCGGTAACGGCGCGGTGTGTTAACCGCAACATTACCGTAGCACACACACACACTCGCTCGCGCACACACACACATTCGCACAAACACACACACTCACGCACACACACACACGCGCGCACAAACACACACTCGCGCAAACACACACACACGCGCGCGCGCACACACACACACACGCACAAACACACACACTCGCACACACACACTTGCGCGCGCACACACACACTCGCACACACACACTTGCGCGCGCACACACACACACTCGCGCACACACACACACTCGCGCACACACACTCGCTCGCGCACACACACACACACTCGCTCGCGCACACTCGCTCGCGCACACACACTCGCGCGCGCACACACACACTCGCGCACACACACACACTCGCGGACACACACTCGCTCGCGCACACACACACACTCGCGCACACACACACACGCGCGCACACACACTCGCTCGCGCACACACACACGCGCGCGCACACACACACACTCGCGCACACACACACACTCGCGCACACACACTCGCTCGCGCACACACACACACTCGCTCGCGCACACTCGCTCGCGCACACACACTCGCGCGCGCACACACACACACTCGCGCACACACACACTCGCACACACACACTCGCGCGCGCACACACACACACTCGCGCACACACACACACGCGCGCACACACACTCGCTCGCGCACACACACTCGCTCGCGCACACACACACACTCGCTCGCGCACACTCGCTCGCGCACACACACACACGCTCGCGCACATCTGACCGGCGTCTCGTGACCTCTCGGCGCTCTGCACAAGGGGCCTGCCTGTGACCACGAGCGGCGCGGACGCCTTGGAGGCGCGTGTGAATGCGGCGCACGGAGGGCTTTTTCATGCCCTATCGCCCCCCCCCCCCCCCGAATCGCTTCTCCCCGTTGCCCGCGTGCCGACAAAACCCAGTTCTCGAATAGGCCACAACCAAAGCCCCCTGAGTGTCGCCGCCCGCCTTGGTCACGGCGTTTTATAAACGGCGGCAGCTGCCCCCGGTGAGAAAAGCCATTAAGGGGTGCCGCAGATGAGGAGGAGGGAAACCACCCCCCCTCCCCCCCCCCTCACGGAACTCATCAGGTAAAGACGGTGCAGCGGATGCCGGGAGGGAGATTGCTTCCGAGCATCTCCGTGATGAAGTGGGACGGGGAGGGGGGGGGAGGTGTTTTGGGTTTGTTTTTCAATCTGAAAGGCATCGAGCAACAAGCGCCACGGGGAGAGAGGAAAATACTCGGGCGTCTCGCTCCACGACGGAGCACGTGCGCCGACGTGCGTGTCACGCGGCACTCGCGCGCGCGTGTGTGTGTGCGTGTGTGTGCGCGTGTGTGCGTGTGTGTGTGCGTGTGTGTGTGTGTGCGTGTGTGCGTGTGCGTGCGTCATCGACCCGTGGCACCTGGGTCTGCCCCGTGACCTGCCAGCGGGCGTTCGACACTCCACGTGACCTCAAGGTGCACCTAGCCTGGCACAAGCGTCGTGGTGATGTCACCGCCATTTAGTGGCGAATGGCGGTTGTTGTTGTGCGCGTGTGTGTGCGTGTGTAATGTGGGGAGTGGTTGTGTCGCGGTTCGCGCGTTGCGCTACGAACCCGGCGACCCGAGTTCGATTGCCGCTCACGGCCACCAACACCGGTGACGATTATCTGAGCCGGTCCTGGGTCTCCCTTAGGTCGACTCAGCCTCACATTAGTACCTGGAGCGGTGTTCAGGCTAAACACCGGACGTGGTGCTGGCCACCCACCCCCACGTGTGCCGTGTCGGCCTTCATAGGTGCTCGATAACAGCACTTGCCCTAGCAGTCTGTTAAGGCTACACGGGGGATCTTTATATTTTCTTTGTAAGGCCCCCTTGTCAATCCACTGCTGGATGAGGGCCCCCCCATGCCGTGTAGGTCGTGGGGCGGTTGTTTCACCATACTTCACCGCCGATCTCTGTCCCTCCACATCATAATGAACACGAGTAATGTTTTACACATCCCATCAGCGGCACGGCCCTTCTTCTGGGAGTGCATCATTTCCGCAGCATTTGTTCAACGCAAGCACACAAAAAAACTCGGGACCGCTTCTGATATTCAGCGTCTCAGCGGCGGTTGCGTGATGTGGGGTTTGGCGAAGGCGGCGAGCGCAGGCGTGAGACCGCAGAAGTGCAGTACAACGACGGATGTTGCCGCACTGGCCCCCGACGTCCCCACCGCGTAGCCCCGCAGCCACTGTTGGTGTGCGGTGTTCCCCCACCCGATCACGATCCAGCCTCTGAGATGCATGTTGGACTTCTTCCGCACCGTACGTAGCCAACGGTGCTAATCGGCGATTGCGGCGATCGTCGGCAAATCACAGGGGGCCGAATAAAAGCCGAACGTCCGCGAGGCAGGGACTTCGGGGAACCGTCGGTCAACAAAGATTACGTCTCAAGATGCGAAGCGTCGAACAAGTGCGTGCGCTTGTCGTGTGGAACACCGGCGTTACACGCGAGGCTTCGTGGGGCGGAGAAGCGAGAAGCTCACCCGCACACGCGCACGCACGCACGCGCACGCACGCGGAATCACGTGCGTGCGCGTGCGTGCGTGAGTGAGTGCGCGTACGTTGAGACGACGCTTGCTGCGCTGAAGCCTGCGTGAGCGTCACATGGTTTCGTTTTTTTTTTGTGCACGTAACGCGTCGGTTGCGTGGTCGAGATAACGCGTCGCTGTGGATACACGGGCGTGGGTCCCATGACAGTGCCCGTGTTTGTTTCGCCAATGAATGGGCCCGTTCGGGTTTGGCAGTGATTCCCCTCCCCTTTCCCCCCCCCTCCCTCATCCCGACAATGCCGTCGAGGGGTCGGTAATCGGGGCAGGGCTTTTGTGTTTTTTTCCCAACCGGGCCGCTTCATCGGAGGAGACAAACCACAAACACGCGCCGATGAGGCACGTGCAAAGATAAAGATCTCCCCCTGTATAGCCTGAATAGAATGTTGGGCAAGTGCCGTTGACGAACAACTATGAAGGCCGGCACGGTGAACGAGGGGGATGGTGGCCAACACCACGGCTGGCCGCCTTTGTCTCTCGATTAGCGATGTTTACACACCGCACCAGGTACTCGTTTGAGACCGAGTCGACTTAGGGGATGCCCAGAACTGGTTCAGATTATCGTCACCGGTGGTGATGGCCGCCGGGTTCGTAGCGCAGCGCGCTAACCACTATGCCACCGCTCCCCATCAGCGAAGAGACACACGCAGAGACACACACACACACACAGTGACACACGCAGGCACAACAATCGCTCTCACAGGAGCACAATGAGAGGTCTCTGTCACCCACCAACTCTCCTTACACATGCAGCCAGGACCCTCCCAATGAAGCCACGCACAGGGCAGATCCCACACCCCCCCACACACCCTCCACCCCCCCCCCTCCGCAGCACAACGTGTCCCTTCTTGAAAGGGAACGTCGCGTTGGCAATATTGCGCACGCGGCTACGTGAGCAGCACCGCGCCACTGCTTCTGCTGCTGCCGCGTGCCGAGCGGCGGCGACATCAACTCCTGCGCCGGTCAGCCGGAGGTCGCTGAGGTCGACGTGGGGGTCGTTAGCACAAAGCCCACCGCAATGTAGCAGTGCAGCATACAGTGAGGGAGCCAGAAATCTTTCCGATTGAGAGGGGGTCAAATACTTATTTTACTCATTAAAATGCAAATCAATTTATAACATTTTTTACATGCGTTTTTCTGGATTTTGTTGTTATTCTGTCTCTCACTGTTCAAATAAACCTACCATTAAAATTATAGACTGATCATTTCTTTGTCAGTGGGCAAACGTACAAAATCAGCAGGGGATCAAATACTTTTTTCCCTCACTGTAGCAGCACGCAGCAGCAGCAGCTTCCCCCACGTGCGCTCCCCCAGTTCTCCGGGTCTGCGGACCCATACCTTTGTTCTAATACGCCGCTATCTACTCAACTATACTCTTTGGATCTTTCGGTAAAGTCACGTAGGTATTTGTTTTCTACCTACGTGACTTTACCGAAAGAACCAAAGAGTATGGATTCCTGCAGTCACTTCAAATCAAGATTTACTCAACTGTTCGTCAATTCGATAAAATGGCTTTTGAGCATTATTTTTTTATTGGATTGCCGTTTTTTGTGTGAGTTGTTAGTTTTCATGATTTATTGTGATGCTGCGCTACTTTTCTTTTGTTTCTACAGTGATTGATTAAACGAAGCTATTTTCTATTCTACTAGGTAAGGCCCACTGAAGCAAATGAAAGCGCAATGAAAGTGGCGAATCATCACGTGGACATTTATAGCAGCCAAACACTCGAAACGCACGATTCTAAATGTTGAGGGGGAAAAATGGAGGATTCGGAAAAAGATCCACGCGACCACGGGGAGAGAGACACGTACACTCCAAATATATATAGGCATCAGGGTCGGGATCGAACCCACGACCTCCTGTATACCAGGCAAGGTAGTTAACATCTCACCACTGTGGCACCCATTCGTATATATGTGCTTTGAGATCCCTGATGCAAGGCGCTTCATACATAGAATATGTTTTTATTATTATTGGTTTGTAT